TCCATTTATGGTAATTTCGGGTGATTGCCGAGGAATGAACACCAAGCCGAGTGAACACCTGACATGGGCCTGGGACATATCACGGTCCAATATTACAGTGATGGTTAGATGTGTCATCCGACTCATAGAAGAGGAAGATCGACAACAGCCAATGAGACTAAAAGTTCCCTGGCTCCCCGTACTATAAAGTTCCGGTGACTCACGCCATGACTTGACCATCCTAACATGCCCCGTCAACCGAGTATGACTGAAGTTCGTTTGAACAACATCTCAAAGTGTGTGGCCACCACAGCTAACACTCTGGATGTCCTTGTAAACACTCTCAATATTCCTGGTCTGGAAGCCATCTCAAATACCATGCACTCCCTTCTGGAATTGGTGAAGGTACATTCCCCCTTGAGTCAGGATTTTAGGACATTTTGACATAAAACTTTTTTTTTAAGAGTGTGAAACAAAGCAAGGGTGATTGTGCTGAGTTGATGGAGCACACTCATGAATTGCTCAAGGCAATTATCGGGGTATACATCAAGTCAGATACTGGCCCAGAATTGCCCCCAAGCACTTTAAATCAGATTGTAAAATCCACTGAGTAATTACATACCTGCAGGCCGTTTACATTTCTCACTGCAACAATTTAGGACCCTCCACAAAATTCATACCTTTATTGAGGCTCAACAAAGTGGTAGTAAAGTCAGGAGATTTTTCCGCCAGGGAGAACTGGCTGCTTTGTTCAAAGACTGCAAGGGTGGATTGCAGCAGGCACTTGATTTCTTCAATGTAAGTCTTCACACTCAACTCATGTGCCAACTAATAGTCTTCAAGATCAAAACTGTCGACATGATGACCGATGTGAGGGAGATGCAAGACCAGGCTCAACTCAGACACCAAGAGATACTCAACATGATTGAAACTTTGCCTAGTTCCGATACAGCATCCTCTGTATGTGGCAGGTTCTTTGAGTGTATCAGTATTAACAGCTACCCAGATAAGCAACATGTATTCTGGATCATATGCAAGGTGCTTCCTTCCAATAACCCTGTTTCTTAGTTATTTATCAATCTTGCAGTTCAAACTCCATTTCAATGCTCCCAGCAGAGCCAAAGATATTCCATGGTCGCGACTCAGAGCTGGCAAATATTCTCAAGCTCTTCAGGCAGGGCACTCCCCGAATTGCTATTTTAGGTGCTGGGGGAATGGGAAAGACTAGCCTCGCAAGGACAGTGATTCACCATGAGGAAGTTGCCACCAAATACCACGGAAATCGGTTCTTTGTTCCCTGTGACACTGCATCAAGCAAACCAGAACTTGCAGGTCTCATTGGAGCCCATCTAGGTCTGAAATCTGGCAAAGACCTCACTCGGGCAGTCTTGCAGCACTTTTCCAGTAGTCCAGCCAGTCTGCTCATTCTGGATAACTTGGAAACCGTGTGGGAGCCAACAAAATCCCGTGAAGACATTGAAGAGTTTCTCTCTCTTCTCACAGACATAAACAGCTTAGCTTTGGTGGTTTGTAGATTCTCTTTTTTCTCATCCATCTCACTCATGAAGCACCAGATCACAATGCGTGGAGCAGAGAGGCCATCTAAAGTGCAATGGACCAGGCCATTCTTACTGCCCTTGCTGCCCTTGGCACAGGATGCTGCTCGAAAGATGTTCCTTGATATTGCAGACGACAAGCATTTACTTGAAGATGTGGACCAGGTCCTTTCTCTCACAGACAATATGCCCCTTTCAATCAGCCTTCTGGCCCATCTGGCAGACATAGAAGGCTGCAAAGACATATTATTCCGGTGGGGGACAGAGAAGACCACACTTATTTCAGAGGGCTCCGATAGAAGTTCCAACCTGGAGTTATCAATCTCACTCTCCCTCTCAAGCCCCAGAATTGCTTCCACGCCACAGGCCCAGGATCTGTTGGCCCTACTATCCATGCTGCCGGATGGCCTTTCCGATGTAGAGCTCAGACAAACAAAATTCCCAATCACAGATATCCTTGGTTGTAAAGCTACATTGCTCCGTACAGCTCTGGCCTACAATGATGGCCACAAACGGCTGAAGGTCTTAGTGCCCATTAGGGAATATATGGGCAAACTATTCCCCCCCACAGAGGAGATGATACAGCCACTTTTGAAATACTTTCAGGAACTCCTGGAATCATACACAGCAGCTTTTGGCACGACATCTGGGACAGTCCCCATCAACCGGATAACATCAAATTATACAAACATCCAGAATATCCTCAAAACTAACCTACAGAGGGAGTATCACAATGTTGTGGATGTCATTTACTGCACATGTGATTTTAATCGCTTCAGTCTGCGTACTGGACATGGAACAACTACTCTTCTGGCGGATATCACCACCCTCCTTCCATCCTTAGAAGACCATCGGTCGAAAGCATATTCAATTGCTGAATTGTTCCGCTCATGGCAAAATTATTCAAACTCCCATCCAGAGTTATTGATTGTGGCCTTGAACCACTTCAAGTACTTTGATGACCCTGATCTTGAGGGTATGTTCTCTGTTCTACATTCATGCACTGTGCTGAAAAACAATTGCCAGCTGACTTTCACAACATTCTAGGAAGGTATTACTTTGAACACAACCATGATATTCCCACAGCTGTACAGCATGGCCGGTTTGCCCTCTCCTTAGCACAGTTGAATGGAAATTACAGGGGGCAATGTGATGCACTTATAACCCTTGCACAAATTGAAACATTTGCGGGTGACCACATTGCTGGTCGAGCCCTTTCACGTGAGGCACAGACACTGGCCAAAGTCTCGGGAGACGTGTACAAAGAGGCACATGGACTTCACTATGAGGCCCTTTGCTTGATGTCACTGGGTGAATATCAAGAATGCATAGCCCTCACCATCAAGGGCAGAAAAATGCTGGGTCTATGTGGTCTGTCTCATGGGGGGCTCAACTATCTGTTGATGGGAATTCAGGCTGAGGTTCACAAGCTCAAGTCAGAATATGTTGAGGCGCATAATATCCAGAATCAGATTCTCCAGCAAACAGCGAAGGATAATCACCGGCAAGGGCGTGCCCTGATGAATATTGCTGAAATTGAGGTGTTGATGGGATTTTCAAAGACGGAGATACAAAAGAAGATTGAGGCATCACAGGGCATTTTCGGAGTAAGCGGAAATGCAATGTCAACTACTGCATGTGATGCCACTCAGGCGGATCTCAACCTCAGAGAGGGGGATAGGTCGGGCACATTATTTTGTAAATGCCTTCAACTTGCTTGGCGGAAACACTCTGAGGCAGTTAGTTACTGCCTGGAGAGACTTGCAGATATCAATCGCTGGGAGGGATGTCATCATCCAACCTCTTGGCCTGCTGTTTTTCTTGCACATTCTCTCAAGGCAAGAGAGAGGCAAGGAATCTACAAGGGGTTACAATTTTTAGGTGATGTTTTCCTTCGGGAGAGTGAGGAAGCCACATCCATCTCTCTGTTCACCCTGGCCTTAGAGGGGTTTAGCCAGATGGATGTCCACCGCAGCAGAGCAGAGTGCATGATCCGACTTGGGGATATATCCAAGAAGCATGGTGATTTACTGAAAGCACTGGAGCTCTGGGAAACAGCAAGGCCCCTCTTTGAGCGCTCATCTCAGGCCAAGCAGGTTCGAGATATTGATGAGAGGCTGGCTGGGATAGGCAAGGATCTGAGGGAACAGCATAGAAGCAACATGGCTCGACTCACAGAACTCACTGCGCCTACTGGAAAGGTGGAGGAGGCTGATGAGGATTTATATGAGAGTGAGTTGGAAGAAGAGCAGGCTGTGTTGGTGGGGTCTGAGTGCTTTCAATGATTATGTCATTGTTTCCATTCTTTTTTAAGTTATTTGTGTACTTATTTATGCAAGCATGCTTGCTGACTTGGAGAATTTATGCATTTATTTGTACCTCCAAGAACTCACAGCTCAATGAGCTGTATTAGCCAGCCACAATGATCTCCGCATAATGAAAGGATAAAGTGCCGGGTTTGACTCCCCGCATCCGACAGCTCATGATTGATTTTTCCATTGTTTAAACTTCACTGCGTTCCGAGGTCTCCTAAACTTACTGCTGTGCGCAGCTACTTGCAGATCTGTAGGTGAGCATAGGTAACTAGACAGCCTCTGTCCAGCAGATTACACACAGCTCTCCGTGCAGCTATCTACAGAGCTGTGTAGGTGACTACGCTTGGTGTTCCTAGGTGAGTGTAGCTGAGTGTAGGTACCTACGCTGACCTACAAATAGCTACACATACGGCTACACATAGTCATCTGCGTAGGTACCTGCACTTAACTAAGCGCAGACAATTGCGGAACACAGTGCTTGTTTGTTCAATTCCCGTGTTCCCAAATCAGGTTTGAAACTTATACCCAACTCAGAAAAGTGCAGAGGATTCAAAGGTGAACATGGGCTTGACAATTCCTTCCGTGCTCCGCTACAGATCCCTCGGACCCAAGGTTATCCAATAGACTGGCATTGAATTCAAATTCCTCTTTCCTTCACTCGGCTGAATTCATTTTTGCAGTCCTTGATGGGCGGGTCTTGTCTTGCATTCGAGTCGGGTTTTGTTTTGCCAGTTGTTCAACCGTGGGAAACCAACGCCTCGAAGAAGTTACACCCCTATTCTTGGTTTGCTCTATGTTAACATGGAACTTATTTCTTCAGCACTGACCTGATGATGGTGTAGCAATTATTTCGTGAATATCTCTGCTTCAATTGCAATTTATTTCTCTCCCAGGTAAAATACTGTATATGCAATTTGATTTTATGTAATATTTTGGCTTTCTGTGAGGTTCAATTATTTACTGTTTGGGTGCTCACTGCTCTCCTTCCTCGTTTAACAGGGTCTCACCAACGTTGTCAACACAAAAAGGTGTGTGCGGTCTTTTTGTTGAAGTTTGGCTCGAACCACAGGAATTGGTAATCTGAAGTTGAACAACTGACAGCTCACTATTCCAGCCTCTTCTAGGCCAAGTATTACAGCCAGAGTGCCATGACTCCATGGTGTAATGGTTAACACGCCTGATGGTAATTCTATCACGATATGTATGTAAGCATGCATTCTGGAGGTCCCTGTTCGATTCGGGGTGGGGGTCATGAAGATATTCTTCCGCCGTTTTTTGTACATTTCTTCGTTTTGCTACTACCTTGCTCTAGGCATGTCTAGCCAGAAGGTGAGCTGTCCGAATTGAATGTCGCATCGTTCGATTGCGGGCATGACTCGATGCGGATGCTTCGAGTTTATTATCGGGACAGAGCCTCCGGCAACGACCTGATGGTGTAGTGGTTAACATGCTCGCTTTGAATAGGTCATTACCAACAAGTGAGCGGGAGTCTCCGGTTCGAATCCGGGTCAGGTCATTCAGTTTGCTTGTATCTCTTTTGCGCTTAGAACTTTTGTTTTTCCATTTCCTTCTGTCAGCACGACGCCATTGTACTTAAGGCATCCCTGGTATGTACCTCTGCTCAGAGCCTGCACTGGCAGCACAAACTAAATAAACCAGCGAAGTCGATTACTAGATTTAATCGTGGCTCACACTCGCGGCGCCTCGATGCAGATGTAACTTGAAAAAATGTACAGCTGGTATGATTAGAGCGCCGAATTACGGGTTTGAGACCTGGTCCTTGACTCTTGAGTCAGCACCAGGAGTGGTTCCAAAACCATTATATTTTGTTCACAGTAAGGCTATGCCTAGCATGGAGGTTCAGCATGGATCTGATAGTGTAATGGTTAACACGCCTGCTTAATTTATCCATCGTACAAAGCATCATTCAGCAGGAGGTCTCGGTTCGATTCCGGGTCAGGTCATGAATAGCAGGAAAAAATTCTTTTTGTCCTTGATTTTTGGTTGATTTTCTTCCAGATTCCTTTCGCTCCAGCCCCGCTGTTCTTTATCCTACAGCGTCGAACAGTCCACTAGTTGTGTTCAAGTCAGTCCGAGTTGTGTCTTTTTTGGAGAGAAGACGGATCCGGATCAACGCGGGCCGGACGGGCACTGCTTTCTTCGATACCTGCGATTCTTTGGCGCGATACGCAAGGGGATCCCATTACCCGAAATATATACCCCGACTCGATATTTTTTTCTCAGCTCAGTGGCTTGGCCCCCCCCCCCCCCCCCCCCCCCCCGTGGGAAATTGCCTTTTTAGGAAGGCCCCTATGTACCGTTTCGCCTCAAAACACACAACGGGTCGGAGGTTTGTGCTCAGACACAATTTATTCAGTACTTGTATTGCAATTGAAGTGTTCCCAGACCATTTTGACTCTTGTTCAAGTTACTTTTATTTTTCGGACTGCGTCGGCAGGGATTGATGGATTGATGGCGACCGCATTGGGTGTGGCTGTACACTCACGTACACGCTTCCACGCCCAGATATAGTAATAATGTTTTGGTCTCTACCTCGAAAACGGGCTTAAATGGCACCTGGATGCCATATACATTTGTGTTCAGAGGGCAAAACTGGACCATCTGGGAGGTACATTGAACCATTCTTGGAATGGGAGCCCCTTGGCGATACGCGCAGCGTTTGTTCTTGACGTCGACCGCATCTTGAAGAACGACGGCGAGACGCTGCAAATATATCCAGCCTACCGTCTAGTCTTGGATGCGCGGCTGGGCTGTCCCCCAATGCATTACACAAGTCGGCCAGGACGACCTGCAAGGCCCCGGGCTCCCGAGCTTCCCGTATTTTGCCGCCGCCTCTTTAAGAGTCCATCTACCGAGTATCGAGTATCGAGGCCGAGCGGTGCGATATTGACACCAGCTCGACTTCCGCCCACGCCGACTACGTACACACCACGCCTAGCAGTACCTAGCACTGCACGCCTCCTCCCGAGCTTCCTTCACTTCTTGCCGCTCCAGGACCGTTCTCTCTTCCCCCCTGCCAGCCGCCATCACCCGTCCCTCCTAGGATCCTCTGCCCTTGGCCCTGGTATCGCGCATACATCCCTCCGCATCCGCATCCGCACCGCCTACGCACTCTATGCGCGCGCCTCCGCAATGCTTGCTCTTCTGGGCGCGCTAACGCATCGTCGATGCACACAGCATGCTCCTCCGTAACGCGTTCGGTAAGTTCCTTTCTCCACTTCCACTGCGCCTGCACTGACTGTCTTTATGACATCCTTCCCTCAGGCCTCACGCTCCAGCCCGCGCGATCCGAAGCCATCCCCGCCCGCCCCCCGCCCGACGCAAAGCCGCGTCCTCGTGCTTTCTTCTGGGATGCTGTCGTCGCCGTCCCGCGCCTGCTGCGATCTCCTTGCGCTCGGGGTACCTCGGTCGCTGGACTCTTGCTCTACGACGACTCTTTGGACTGGCGCAGAAACGATGCAGCCTGGTAGCGGAGGGCGCGTCATGGCCAGGTGGGTGGATGAGGCCGTGTACTCGAGTCGCGCGCGTTGCCGACGTGCGCATCGACGGTGCACGTCGCGTCGGGCGGTGTGCCGGCAAACGGCCCCGGGGAATGAAATATCACACTCCCCGAGACCGACCCGCGCGCGGGATCCGTGTCGCGCGGGGCCTCCCGCACGCACGTCGCGATGGGCGTTGGCGGTGTCGCTTCGCTCGCGGCGTATCATCTACCCCTCCCCTCCCATCCCAGCCCATCCCACGACTGCAGCCCCGCATGTGTGTCGCAGGGGCGCATGTCCCATTTGCGGGCAGCGCGCAGTAACGGGGTGGGCGGCGGAAGTGCGGGTGTCTGCGCTCACCTTGTGGCTGCACGCAGGTGTAGGTGTGCATGTCAAGAGCGCGGTGGCGCTTCAAGCGGGAGACGAGGCCGGGGACAGGACAGGCGCGGTGCAGATGAGTGCCGGCTGTACAGCTCGGGCGCGTCGGCGGCAGTGTCGTTGGTCGTCGGTGCTCCTGCACGGGGGCGGCTGTCGGCGTCGGTATGTGGGCGTGGGCGCAGACGGGGGCGGTGGGATGTGTGGACTAGCCAATCCACGTCCTGCGCAGCCCCGCACTGCATTGAACGTGCCTCATATACGCGTGGTGCGATACCGCGTATCGTCGTCGTCTGGGAGGGATTATCCCGCGGCGCGTGTCGAATTTACACACGCATGATGCGGGAGAGGCGCTGCGCGCCGCCGTGCCTGTTTTCGCACTCTCCACCTCCGCGTCTGCTTCATTGACATCGCGCCCACTGGCAGGTTCTAGATTGCATTCGGTCCACACGTCCCCATCCACAATCCGCAGTCCGCAATCCACCTCCACCCCCTCACCCACCTCCTCGCCGCACCCCACCACGAGCAGTACCCTACCCTCCCGTATACCCGCGCCGAGCTTCCCCGGTCCCGCTCCCGGTCCCGCTAAACACCCCCATCGCGTGCTGTCAAGCACGCGCCCCCATCCGCGATCCCCAATCCACCTCTCCCACGCCGTACCCACCTCGCCCTACGCGTCTCGCCGCACCCTCCCGCACGCCCGCGCCGAGCTCCCCCGGTCCCGGTAACACACCCTCGTCGCGTGCTGTCGTACGAGTCCTCATCGTCTCGTTCCTACAGTAGGTCTGAGTCAGCCAGCCGCACATCCTATCTGATCCTATCCACGCCCGACCGCGCTTCGGTGGCGTGTTGCGCGTCCCCGGCGCGCCATATTCTTCTTCTTTGTCCTGTCGTGGCGTCTGTCGTGGCGCGCGCGCGGGCACCTGGACGTGGGTGACGCTCCGTCGTGCGCGTCGGCGCTTGGAGTGTATGTGTATGCAGCCTGCAGCGGGGACGGATGGACGGGTGCACGGCGTGTCAGGTCGCGGCGGGTACGGGGCGCGCGCCGGACGTGTATGGCGTCGCGCGCACTGCGATTCGCTCCGTGGGGATCCGGACGGGTCGATCATGCGGAGTGTGCAGCTGGGCTGCAGGCGGGGAGTGCGGAAGGATAATGCATGCATGCATGCGGCGGGGGAGTGCGAGGGGCGGGAGGCATTTCGACATCCATCCCCGCGTGTGTTTCGCGAGTCGGCCGCGGGGTTCTGTGGCGGGTGCGGGTGCGGTGGAGACCCCGGACGGGTCGAGGTGCAGCGGTAGCGCACGCACGCACACACTCCAGACTCCAGACTCCGAGTGGGCGGGTGGAAGCGCGCCCGCATGCGGCGGGACGACGGGACTGTGCGGAGTGCGGAGTGGCCAGGCGGGTCTGTCTCGTCGCAACGAAGAAGACCCGCCCATCCCATCCCATCCTCCCTTCATCCCCTCCCCGCCTTTCATTCGCATTCCCTCCTTGTACCCACCTCCCACACCTCTCCATCATCCATCATGTTGATTCCGATTCTAGGTTCTCCCCCGCTGCCTGCATCACGTCCAAGCTACCTCCGCGACCCAGCCTACGCCCGCGTGCGCTGATGCGTCGTACGCAGTCCTGCACTCTCGCGAGCGCTTCGGCTTGCTGTTCAGTGTTACGGACTCGCGCGTTTCTTTTCTCCCACGGTAGGTCTCCGCCGCGCACAAAGATGACCCCCCCCCCCCAAGAAAAGAACGGCGCAGGGTGGTTGGGTCTTGGTTGCGAGAAAAGTTCACGGAGGGGAGGCGAAAGCTGGGCGAGGAAGCAGCGGGACAGGTACAGGTCTTATAGAACCGGTTAAATTTGTCAACAGAACCTATGACTTCGTGGGCCGACGGCGCCATCGGCGTTAAATCTTGGGCGGTGTGAGGCGATTCTGGCAAGAGGTTCTCCGACGACTTGCAAATTACCCCTGCGCGAGGAACTGATTTGAAGATTGGTTGACCTCGAACGAGGCTGGGTTGAGGCCGCAATTTGGTAAAATATCGCGGGCGAAGAAAAGGTCGATGTGGGTAACCATCTTCCACTGTGCAAGCGCCGCAGCTCACCCGGGAAGAGCTGTGGGTGGTGCGCAGCATACTCGGGAGATTTTCGGTACACGAGAGGCGTTGTCGGCGCCGGCCTTGAAGCTTGAGGAATTGATGAAGAGCGTAATAAGGGTGGGCAAGGAATTTCCTTGGTAAATGACGCCCGATGATACTTGCGTAGAATTTGAGGAATCCAAATTATAGAGTAACAAATGCACAAAGTTTGGGAACTCAGAATAAACAATTGGGAATTTGAAAGACTAGAAGTGACTCCATAGAGAGAAGGTTCCGCGACTTTTCCAAGGCGATCACAGTCAAAAGCACACAGAGACTTGAGTCCATGGGTCGTTGCCGCTTTGAAAATTTGTGTCTTAAGCCTTGACGCGTCGAAAATGGGTATCGCAAAGGCGCAAGAGTTCGAACTTCGAGGGTTTTAACCCGCAATAGGCCGGAATTATGGTTAGATATTCAGGCAAGAAACGACCATGGACGTCGACAGCACAAGTGGATGTCACCGTGTGACCCCACGCGACATTTGCCCGTCCGTTTTACGTCCTGAGAGTTGATTATGACTCGAACGAGAAAATATAGCGGCTGGCGGCGTCTATCTCTGCTGTAACAGTTTCGCGGTGTCCAAGGTGAGCGCGATGAAAGGAAAGCTGTTGAAGAAAGCTTAAACTTAACTTCAAGACTCGCGCGACGCGGTCACGTGCGTGGCGACCAGGTCCGAAGCGGCCCTGCAATCCCTCTCAAGCCAATGATTGGAAGTTGCCGGCAAGCGGCGGGCACAAACAGTTTTGGAGCGATGGTCAGTGTTACGTTCGGTGGGTGCTTTTGGTTAAACAACGGAAGTGCTTGTGCCAAGATACATAGAAATCACATTCACCCGATTGGGGCGAGCATTGATGGCAACAAATTTAGCAGGTGAGCATTGGTTGAGCAAACAAAGGTGTGCAGAATATTAATTTGGTGGTCCCAGGACCCTTGGTTGGGTATCTTTTTCAGGATAT